TTTGAATATATGAGAGATAGAGAGCGAGAGTATATGATGGCCACCAACGAGAGAGAGAGAGAGAGAGAGAGATTAATCAAACACTGGTATAAAATCAATATGAATAAGTAATAAATGCACATTAAATGGCTTTTATAGATACCGTACCTCCCATTCCATCTTCATAATGAGAAACTCCATACCGAACGTCACGTAATACCCGGTCGACCAGCCGTGCCATAAGGCCAGGAAAAATAGGGTAAAGAAATGACTGGCCATTCGAGAGCCCATGAATTTAAGTCGTTTGAAGAGATATTTGGCCGCAAATTCATTGGTCGTCAGATTGAATGAACGGATGAGACCACCAAAAGTGGTGGCCGTCTCAAAATTTATCACATGAACGTTAGAGCACTCGTACACCGAACCGCTCTTCTTGTCATACGATGCGCCAGATATTATGCAAACCCCCTCCTAATTAGACATATCCAATATTTGTTACCAATCAGATTTTAAATTAAATATTCTAAATAATACAGTATAACATAATTGTAAAAGCAGTTTAAGTGTTTTTCAATATAATACTCTATTCATAATATTAGTGCTAAAAATAGTCCTTGTTAATCGATTGATTATTTTTTTTAAACTATTAATATATTTAAATAATGCTTATAATGTCACGAGTTTTGATATATTTATATCATTAGTTAAAATTAACTTTTAATAGTGTGGTGTAAAACGCGATGGTCTTTATCATGGCTCTGAATTGACAATAGATTCAATACAATACGTCAAAGTCATAGCAAACACTTGAAAAGCTAATTCATTAATATTTAAAAACATTAAATGTCTTTCTATACTATAATATTAGTGATAAAAATATCTTTTCTATTAAACCATATATTGTATTCATAAGAGTATAACAGTGTTAACAGAATATTCTATAGTGTAATATAAAAATGAAAGTGTGTTTACTCACAGTTATGAGCCAACCGGACAAGTATTTACATAAAGATATTTTAGTAATAATAGCGACGAAAGTCATTCTCATAAACAATCCATAAGAGCTCTGAAATATATTTTGCGATACGATATGCAAACAAAAAAAGTATTATCAGAATTGCATATATAATTAATTCGAGTCCATTCTCTTATAAAACATACAAATTCTTGTGATAACATATACTGTGTGGGCCAGTATTGGGAGCCAATCTGGTAAATGGCCAGATATGTGAGGCCAACGACCAAACGCTTTAGTCCTGGAAGCCAACTGTCCGTTTAAAAGACACAATTTAGCAATTAATACAAGTTGTTTTATAAAGATGATTCTCTGAGTTATATATGAATGAGTATACCATTTGGGCAAAAAGTTTTCATTGGACTCAATATATTTCATATAATTATTATATTTGACTTGAGGTCCCATAAGGAAAGAGCCGGGAAAGTATGCGTGTGATAGCAATTCAAATAATGTGGGAATCTTAGCCACCGCTGTGTCCTCATTGATCGCTCGTCTTTCATCTGTTTGTGAGTTTCCTTTCTTTGAATTAATTGGAGAACTATTTAATGACTTTGCGTTTCGGTGTCCGTCATAGACGTCAAACGTGAGGGCAATTAAGCGCAGTGTTAGCACACATTGAGGTATAGTCCACGTGAAGCTATATTCGGAGCCGATTTGTGTCACATAATAGCCCCATAAGAGATATGTCTAAACATTATTTAACGTAAGAGTAATCGATCAGTGAATATACTTTTTTGGCTGCCATTCAAGGCATTCAATCCTTTTATAATATTGATATTAATTAGTCTAATGGTAGGGAAGAGACATACCATACAGAATGTCAGGTTTAGAGCGATTGCAGAGCGTTTCGGTCCGATATATGTCAACACTATATAAACGAACAGACAATTCACCACAGAATGGATGGTATCGATCCCTGCAATACATATGCAATACATATATTCACTTATTATGAAAGTCTCAATTATATCGTCCAATGCATGCAAATATATACTCTTATATAAGAGTCAAACAATTATATAATAATCGATGAGAAAACAATATATATAAAAGTTGAGTACAATTTGACAAATTCTTACCATAATTAAAGTAACAAAGAAATAAACCACAACTTGTATAATACAAATGTTTGACAATCACTGGTTTGTCGGCCAATAATAAATTGTATAGAATACAGAGTGGATATCCTATTAACCAGAAAACAGTATTGTTAGCAATTTAATTGACAAATACAACAATTTACTCATTCATTACAATAAATATCTCGATATTCTTTAATTCGATTGTATATTAAAAGTAAAAATAAATAATAAATACCTAAATGTGAGGA